ATTTATCTGGACCCTTAATCTGTTTATAACTTTCTTAGATCAAAATCTTATTTAGCTTTTTACTATTTATTTTAAATTCTTTAAGTTCTTAAGCCTAGAATTAATTTTTGTTTTGTTCAGAGTTGAAGATAAACTCACCCAATGAAAACTTTTCAAGCTTGTCATTCCGGAGGTCTCTCATAGTTTTAAGATAGGTAATAGGCAATTTCCAACAGTGATTAGAAAATCAAGTTTTTGAACTTAGTATCCTTTAAAGGGCTCGGCCGCAGTTGCGAGCCAAATGGCTGATCCCGCTGTGTCCTGGTGCTCAAACCAGTGGAAAACCGCTGTCCTGTGGTGTCCTCGCAAGGAGCAGCTGTCCAGAGCATATGTGGACAATCTTCCATCCTCTCCTTATCTGGAAAGGTTCCAAGGAGTCTACTCACCAGTTCCTTGGTCTTTGCTGTGGTCATTGGTTCTGTGAACTTCAATTTGCCATACCTCTGCAGAAGTTCAGCGCCATCGTAACTTTGAACAGTCAAAGTGTTGCAACCTAAGGACTACCTGTAATGCACTGTAGAATGAAATATATTCTGTAATCTTCATGCTGAAGTAACTTGCACAGTCTGTTGTAACTCCATCCAGTTTTAATATTACTGTTATGTGTGACTGATAAAATGAGGAGAGAATCATGCTTTTCACATAAGCTTCATTGGATTCTGTTCTTGGTGACTATACTTTAAATCTTAAATGCTTGGCTTTGAGATAACCCATGCTTTACAAAATCTCTTTACAGGCACATATCTCACTTCATGCACAACATACCTTTCCCTTCGCCTCAAAGACCAAGAATCCTTGTGCAGGTAAGTTAGAAGTTTGATACAGTTTAATACTACCATCTTATTTCCTGAGTAGTGTTCCTATAAGTTTTCATGCTGTTCACTAAGCATGTGGCCTCCATGTTCCTTTTATTTCTTCCACTTTGCTATGCACTTGAGGAATCATGAAGAATTTTATACTGCTTCCCTTATATGGTAAGCACTAAATGTACAATTCCAGCTTTTTCCCCCCCATGTATCAGATCGAACTGTTCCTCAAAAAACTCACTACTTAGTTCTCTGTGGAACATCCATATTGTAATGACTAGCAGTGGAATTAGAAATACGTCCTGACAGGTTGCATTGTTTTTAGTGGAATTTCTCAGGTAAGTATGCATATTTGAAACAGTGCAGTTCAAAAGTGATGCATAAGCTGAGAATTCTATGGTTTATAAAATACTAGTGGCTTATGCTTATTAGTTGATCTAATGATCATTCCCATCCTTATTTCCCCCCAACCCCTGGCTGCTGTTTCATAGCATAGGAGCAGTTATGCCAAACCACCTTATAGAAATACGGTGAAAGTTCTAATTATGTATATGAAGTGCCAGAGTGCTAGAAATGCCATTTTCATTATGCTGGTGGGTCCTGCATATCTAGTCATGTTCATTTCCTGCTCATATAGTTGTAGATGACTCACATTTCACTGGCTAATGTATAACACCTGGTTAATTAGATCACTTAAATGAGTTTTTTCAAACTGCCAAATAACTAATATTTGTTTTTTACAGCTTTCAGCCCATGATGCATTAATACTGTCTCAACCAGTCTGTACACCTTTGCCACTCAGGTAATAATGGTCAATGTAGTATTTTAAAGTTGCAGATGAATTAAAATATTAAGAGCCAGTTTGCATAACACAGTAAACCATAATTTGTTTAGCAGCAAATGAGCAATGTGTTAATGCATGCTGTTCAGATTTTACCTGCATATGTTTCCAAATTCTTTTTTGTGCAGTTCTTATAGCCTCCCCCAGGATCAACCCATTAACTTTCAGTGACAGATCACTGAACATAGTGGAATTTCACATTGATTTCTAACAGGAAACAAAATAAATAAAGTCCATGAAGTTTTCAGATTATCACAGTGGATCTAAAATAGCAACAAATAGAGAGAACCTCACCAATTTTCTTTTTTCAAAGATGAAATGCTCATATCAAATACAACAGGTTTGCTTGAATGCTTCTAAAAAGTGGGAAGTGGACGTAGAGTCTAATCTTGATAAAATAAACTTTTAAATAAACTTTAAATATTTTTAAAAATAAATAACACAAACACACTGCAGCAACCCAAAACAGCAGAAAAAGGAAACGGATCACCCATACAACATTTTCCAACAAAATGGATACTCATGCAACTTTATTAAAAAGTGCCCAATCACCCAACCCACTACAGCACAACCAACACAAGCTATATAAGTAATAAAAGGATAACACTGCCATACATCAGAAACATCTTAGAAACAGCTAACAGACTATTACAACCATGTAGCATCACTGTAGCACACAAACCAACCAAAGCCCTCCAAAACATCTTAAGTAAACCAAAAGACCTAGTAGCCCGAGAAAAAACAGGAGTCACGTACAACATACAGTGTAAGGACAGTAATAGCCACTATGTAGGATAGCAGTCAGAAGACACAATGAAAACTCCTTAATCTCACAACACATGGACAGACTTAACCGTAGTTTCAACTGGGAAACTGTCAGCA